CTTCTTCTCGCCCTGAGTCTTTCTACGATACTTGCCGAATTTTGTCGTTTTTTTTGCCGTTCACCTTCTCTTTGCTCTCTCCTTAAAACATGTCGTCTACACGCTAAAATCTCTCTGCTGTCGTTTGTTGACATCATAACTTTCGTAAGTTGTAATAAAAAGTTATAAAGGTTCTGTCGAAAAATCTTTTTGATGGGTTGCTTTTAAATTTCTTTTTCCAAAACCAGTTGCGCGATGTTGCGCCACGCGATTTCCCGCAAAAAAAATCTCTACTTTCCCCTACCCCAAGAGTCCATGCGGACTACTTTCCTCCACCCGGAAAGTTCATACGGACGGATGTACGCTGAGGTCATAACCAAAATTTCTCGGATGGATAGTTTACCACATTATCTTAGTTATGGTGCTCCGCTCGCGCGCGCTTCGCGCGCGCAAGGAGCTCCGCTATAAAATCTCTCTCTTCAGATTAAAATGTATTTCTCAACTGTATTTAAAATGGAAATTTTCAATAATAAATAACAGTATAACTTTGTTTTAATATGAAACACTTAAACAACCATCAAAACAACAAAATGTGTTAGATGCATTAAAGTGCCTCTGTTTCTTAATATTTGGAAAATAACAATTTGTACTATGACCCAATTGTGTTATGGCAATTCCCAACAATAAATATCTGACAGTGTAATTTTGGTTTTAATGTGAAACAGTAACAATTGTCAAAATAACAAAATATACTGGATCAATTGAAGTGTTACTGGCTCAATTGTGAAGTGAAAATTTCTACCAATAAATGACAGTATATTATTTTGTTTCCGCAACAATAACGACAGACAAAATAACAAAATATGTGCACCATATTCCAAAATGGCAGGTATTCTTTTGTCTTATAATACGATGTTAATTGGCCCTCAAGGTACCGGGCTAATAGTCCTTTTTAATTCTGCAGATGCAATAAAGGGCGCCAGCGGCGAATTAACGTTAATGAAAAAGTAATCTTGCTACTATTTTGGCATAAGCTGTATTACATAAACCGAAGTGCAACTGCTCTTTTTTTAAATGATAATAACGATATATGTTGTGATTCCGATTTTGTCCCTGGATTAATTTCTATTTTGCTTTTTCATATGGCAATTTATGACAAACTAAGTCAAAACAAGGATAGATATATATAAAACATTAGACCAACGAAAACATTGAACCACTATGCCTTTACAAGATATTTTAGTGATGAGATTCTCTGAAGTCGTCAAGTCAATTTTGACCACCTATACAGTGTAGTTTTAATCACTCTCTTTGTGGCTCTTCTTCAAGCGCTTGTTATTTTTCCTTGTCGTTTGTGCCCCAAACACATTGCTTCCACGTTTTTCACGATTAGTTATAAAAGAAGAAATGTGTGGAGGAAAAAAAAATTCGTGCAAAGCTTCTGCCTCAGAAAAAAAAAATCCTGCAGACAAGTGGGCTTAAAAAAAAAAAAAGAAAACTTAATGCACTGAAAATTTTTCATCCCCCTCCGGTTATTTCTTATGGTCTGTCCCTAAGGATAGTTAAGAACACATCAGATACACATGTATTGATACGGTGACCAATCAAAACAAGTCTTAAACTGTGGGAGTTTTCCCGTTTTAATAAAAAAATAGGGAAGCGAATTGCAATGAAGGATGATAATAAATAATAAGAAACAAGGCAGATGAGACGTATAACTAATTGAGACTTCAAACTGCGCGTGCAGAAATATAATATTCTATTTGGCAAACGGTTACATTTTGTTTCTTTAATTGCGGATAATAAAAGTGATTATTTTTTCGAAACTTAATCAATTATTGATAAGAAATGGCTAGATCGCTATAAACCTTTCGTCCAAACACAATTCTAGAAAGGAGAAACCCATTTAAATTGAGAAACCAGGGCAGATATAAAAAAACAATCAATGGACTATCAAGCCAAGCCTTTCTTGTTTTTATTATTATTATCAATTTTTCTGTTAAAATGAAGTTTGTTCGAACAATCATATATTCAGTTTTCAATTGTTACGGACATGCACAGCTCCACTGGTGACCTGTTACATAAATTATACAGCGTTTATTTCATATAGCAAAAATATAAATTCAGGAAGCGACATCGGTGTAATTTCCGTGAAAATTCACAAACGATGATGTCCTCGAAAGGGAATCGCTCGAAAAAAAATATCGCAGTTGTCGTGTGGTTATATTTTTTCTTTGTTTGATAAGTGAATTTTCAGCATTATAAGCCATGCCTCAATTTACGTAAGTCATGAGTGTGAATGATGTTAACCCCAACATTAAGTAAACAAGGACTTACTTTTAGCTTTGTCACCCTTCTTGGAAGGAGTCCAGCAGATATTTACTGCTTCCTGATCAAGAAAATACTTTCTAGGATACTTCTTTGATGAGCTACGCAGCTTTATTATCTGGGTTCCCTTGTGCATAACATCGATAGACTCTCCAACTGAAATGATATATACATTCAGATAAAATAAATGGATATAAACGGAAGAAAAATACAGTAAAGAGTTGTCAAAATAAATTTTGTATCTTAATCTGCTCTTATGTTTGAAAAAAAGTGAAGATTCCCTCTAAAAACAATATATATTTTTAAGTCATTTAAGGTGATTAGCCGAAAAATAAAATATCTATTTTACCCATCATACGGGTATACATAGTTTTTAAAATCTTTCTACTCGAATTTGAAGAATGGCTTTATAAAACAAATATATTAAGCAACTACTTTACTGACCGTTTGCAAATTTGTGATTTTCGGCACACTTTGTTGCCCGGCGATGCTTGAATTTCCGCCATATGTCAATTGAGTTTTTAGCAATCCTCGCCTCATGGCTAAGTATATCGGGACCACGCTTTTCCATAGGGATTTTATTTTTACAGCTCCATGCTCTTCATGTTTAACAGAACGGAGACCCAGTAGTTGCGCAGCAAGTGTTACGAAAAAGTGACAGTAGTTGCGTGCGATTAGATGCTGAGAGGTATTATACAATATTAATATAGGCTACGGAGACACTTCATCCCATTGGACGAAAGTTGCAAATAAAATCGGCATGAAGTAATAAAGCTACTTTACCTCAAAAAAAGCTATTAACCGCAATTAGTTGAGGTAAAATAATTACATGTTAATTCCAAACATGCTCACAATTATCACTTAGCTTCAAGAAAATGTGGAAGTTGTTTTCCTGGAGAGTTTCAACGAAGATCACAGTTTCGTGGAACGCTTTAATGATCTATGTTTTACTTTTCTGTTATTTTAATTATTTTAACATAAAACCTTCAAAGCTGGCCAGTTTTCAGTTCTATTCTTTTCTACCAAGAGAGGATAGAGGTGACAGAGAAGGCACACCCTATTCCATAGGTAATTCGTCTCGAGTTATTTTTAGAATCGGAATAAAGTTACCTCGCGCGCTGCGTGGATGTTTCGTGGAGGTTTCGCATGACTAAACGCCGTGCAAAACATGTCGGGCGAAAGGCAATGAAAGCGACAAGAGATCGAGAGCATTTCTGAATATTGAAGCGAAATGAGTCGGCACTCACCTGGGAAAAGGGAATCGCTGGACTCTTTGACAACCCGTGAAATCAGCTTAACTCGAAGTTGTCGTAACCTCAGTACTTTAATAAAATGAGAAATTTCGCCGCTCTATTGAAACCGGTCGTTTGTATAATAAAGCAAGTAGGACGCCAAGTGTTATTTTTGTTGAATAATAAAAGACTAATAAAAGAATAAATATCAAACCAGAAATGGCTCTCTTCAAACCGTAAATTATAAATGATCCTGAGAGAATATTCAGTGTGTTAAGGATTTCCCTGCTGTACTGTAAGTTCTATACAAGAGAGGAAGGGCGATTCTTTTTTAATTTCCGTTTCGCTGTCACAGCTTTAGCAGAAATCTCTCTTCAGTCGTTTTCATCGACAAAACGAATAGCAGTATCGCGCTCTGCGTCTTCCGCCATTTCTTTCAGCATCATATTCGTGAAGAACACATTCGCGCAGTGTGATTGGCTGTTGTCTAATCCCCCTCGGGATCTGTGGTCTTAAAAATAACTAGAGACGAATTACCTATGGAATAGGGTGTGTATGGGGGTGCCTTCTCTGTCCCCTTTATCCTCTACTGATTCTGGTTCTATAAAATATATACACAAGAAAAATAAATACATTAAAACATAATAATTATTTTGCATAGGAATATTTTGCTTTACAAGAAGTATCTCAGTTTTGCTCCCGCCAAAATTCGCAGCAAACTCAAAACACAATCACTATCGGAAATACGAAGGATGTTTTTTAAAGGGGCAATCTTTTTTTTAACCCCCCCTCCCCCCTACACCCAGTCTTGCCGAAGAAAGTAAAATATAGGCAATACTGATGAAATGGTGGAGAGATTAATGTTTAAAATGAAAAAAGAAAAACAAAAGGTTACCAAATGCTCACAGATTTTTGTGAAATAAAAATAAAAATATGCAAAGAAGAGGATATAAAGGTACAAGCACTCTAATGCTGCCGATGATGATAATGATGATCACGATGCTGGTGGTGGAAATGAAGAGGGTACTGAGAGTTTGGGTGACAATGATGAAGTTTAGAACATGTCTTCACAAAGAAGGTTGCAATGTGTTTTCAGGCACATATACAAAGTTGTTGTTTCATTCACCGCGCGCGCTATAACGATGGTAGTTTTGTCTCATGCCAAATTTCCGCAAAACGAATTGATCTTTCCAACACTCTCTACTTTGTAAAATAGTGCCTCAAATACTGTTTTAACAGTTCATTCAAAAAGGAAGACAAGTCAGGCCGTGAATCGTAGCAAATCCTGTGCCTCGAAGGTTACAGCAAACCAATCGCAGATATACGAACACATCACGTGATAGGTAACCATAGCTACTAGTGATAAACAACACTCAAGTCCCGGGAATAGTTTGCTTTGATCTTTCACGGCACTCAGGGTTATACACGCTTGAGATCTAAGAATGGCTTTTAATATCGGCGAAAAATGGCAAAGGCCTTCATGAAGGCAGATGGTTTGCTTGTACCATTTTAAGTCTCGAAGAGGATGGCTACAAAGTTACCTTTGAAAACTGGAGCAGTAGGCATGATACCGTTCTGCAGGCCGACTGTATTCGCGCCCGCTCTTCATCGATGGCTCATGGTCGTAAGAGAAAGCGTCTGCCGCTAGTTGTGAACTTTAGCAAGTTGTTTCCAGAAGATGAATTGTACGTACAAGTGGACGGTACCAGAAAGCTGGCCATCGTGAAGATTATTGACCCGTTCCTGGAACTGCTGACAGTGGTGATCGACGGCGAAGAGAAAACAATCTCATTCCAAAGTGTCGTTCAGCCTGACGTGTTTGCGACTCCTGTTCTCGCAAAGAAAAAGAAGCAAGTTCCATTTAGTAAGCAGCCAGCTTCTCCAGCCACACCCGCGCTACCATCTGCTTGCATCGCATTGGACTCCACCGTGCCGCAACAGTTCGTCTCTGTTATGCGCCTTGATGGTTTAGAGATAAGTTGCGGTGACCTGGTGACTTTTTCTGCAACCAGCACAGACCTAGCTTTCCTTGTAGTCGAGATCTACCAACATGCCTGCCAGCAGAACCCGCATGAAATGTTGAAAGCCCAGAAGTGCGAGATTTCTGAGAACGCCGTCGTCAAGCTGACTGTAGACTTTAACGTGACTTGTCCTGCTGCATGTGCGCACAAGCTGAACACCAAGATTTCGTCTTCCCTGGCCAAGACTGTACAGGAGGTTAAGAAAAGAGCTATTGTGCGCTGTGCTGAATCCCTGAACCAGTACGCGGAAGATCGTGGATACCAGCTTCGCGCCAGGCTTTATAAAATAACTCAGATAGTACGCGTGCTCTGATTGGCCGAGAGGCGTGTTTGCATGAGAGTATGTAAACATAGTTGAGACGTCAATATGTTTTGCTTTTCGTGCGCTAATCATGCAAGCACGAATTTGAAAAAGGTTTGAGCTGAAAAATTCGTCGTCAAGTTTACTTTATCGACCCATTTCCTCGTCGGCTGAAACTTGGAAAATCTTTAGAAAAATGCTGTGTTATTTTTTTTTTTTCGCTTGAGCTGACATTTTAAGTGCGAAAAAAACCCATATTTTGGAAAGCATCTTTTTTCTGGAAACTGAACAAGGACTGATTACGCATACAAGCTTCGTGCACAAGAGCTCGCGACTGGTAAGAATTTCTCTTTTAATCAGCGCTATAAACAGGAGAGTTTTCCCTTTTTTCTCGGAAAAGTTATTTCATAAAAGCAATGGAAAACTTTTTTTTTATTTGTATGCATATCCTAACATAAACACTCCAGGGGCTGGNGTGCTGAATCCCTGAACCAGTACGCGGAAGATCGTGGATACCAGCTTCGCGCCAGGCTTTATAAAATAACTCAGATAGTACGCGTGCTCTGATTGGCCGAGAGGCGTGTTTGCATGAGAGTATGTAAACATAGTTGAGACGTCAATATGTTTTGCTTTTCGTGCGCTAATCATGCAAGCACGAATTTGAAAAAGGTTTGAGCTGAAAAATTCGTCGTCAAGTTTACTTTATCGACCCATTTCCTCGTCGGCTGAAACTTGGAAAATCTTTAGAAAAATGCTGTGTTATTTTTTTTTTTTCGCTTGAGCTGACATTTTAAGTGCGAAAAAAACCCATATTTTGGAAAGCATCTTTTTTCTGGAAACTGAACAAGGACTGATTACGCATACAAGCTTCGTGCACAAGAGCTCGCGACTGGTAAGAATTTCTCTTTTAATCAGCGCTATAAACAGGAGAGTTTTCCCTTTTTTCTCGGAAAAGTTATTTCATAAAAGCAATGGAAAACTTTTTTTTTATTTGTATGCATATCCTAACATAAACACTCCAGGGGCTGGGAGATTTCTCGACCGTTATGCAAACCCCCGACTTCATCTCGGGTTTGCATAACTGTGTATCGAATTCTCCCAACCCCTCGCTTGTTTACATCAGGCTATGCAAACGCGGAAAACGTTTTCTATTGCTTAAATAGCACAGCACTATTAACGAGAACATTGGCATAAACTATTAACATTTGATATACTACAGTATTCAACACTGCTTGAACAAAGATCAACTTCAAAGTTGGCAATATGTACACCTTTAAGCTCATACATATTCTCATTCCTAGATGTATGTAGACTCTGAAAATGTTTTACCAATTTATACATGGATGGTATTTCCAACAATACACATGTACCTTGACTATGGCTGTTACCATACATATCTCTAGCATCGATCAACACAATGAGTTGTAGTTCAGAGCCAAGAGTGTTTCAAGTAGCATACAGTAGTGATAACCCTCAATTCTGGCATCACCATGCATGCTACCAGTATAACTTTCACTGTATTCAAGCTGGAAAAATCGCTCAAACACTGTATGTAACCATTTCTGGCAGTTCTGTTAACATTAACATAGATTGCCTTGCAAGCAATGACAGACTAGAATATAACTGGTTACCAACAGTC